CTCCGTTACACCAGGCGAGATTGTTGTTAGAAGTCTTAGTCTCACAGACACTCCGTTACACCAAGATGGTTGTTGTTAGAAGTCTTAGTCTCACAGACACTCCGTTACACCAAGATGGATGTTGTTAGAAGTCTTAGTCTCACAGACACTCCATTACACCAAGACGGTTGTTGTTAGAAGTCTTGCCTCACAGACACTGCGTTACACCAAGACAGTTGTTGTTAGAAGTCTTAGTCTCACAGACACTCCATTACACCAAGACGGTTGTTGTTAGAAGTCTTGTCTCACAGACACTCCGTTACACCAAGATGGTTGTTGTTAGAAGTCTTACCTCACAGACACTCCGTTACACCAAGACGGTTGTTGTTAGAAGTCTTACCTCACAGACACTCCTTTACACCAAGACGGTTGTTGTTAGAAGTCTTAGTCTCACATATTGCGTTACACCAAGACGGTTGTTGTTAGAAGTCTCAGTCTCACAGACACTCCGTTACACCAAGATGGTTGTTGTTAGAAGTCTTAGTCTCACAGACACTCCGTTACACCAAGATGGTTGTTGTTAGAAGTCTTACCTCACAGACACTCCATTACACCAAGATGGTTGTTCTTAGAAGTCTTACCTCACAGACACTCCATTACACCAAGATGGTTGTTGTTAGAGGTGTTACCTCACAGACACTCCATTACACCAAGATGGTTGTTGTTAGAAGTCTTACCTCAACAGACACTCCGTTACACCAACTAAGATTGTTGTTAGAAGTCTTACCTCACAGACACTCCATTACACCAACTAAGATTGTTCTCACAGTTGATTTTGAAGAATAGCATCATGTTTTTCATTATGGGTGTTTTTATTAACATGACACTCCGTTACATCAAGACGGTTTTTGTTAGAAGTCTTACCTCACAGACACTCCGTTACACCAACTAAGATTGTTCTCACAGACACTCCATTACACCAACTAAGATTGTTCTCACAGTTGATTTTGAAGAATAGCATCATATTTTTCATTACGGGTGTTTTTATTTACATTATTTTTAATACTTGTTATTGACGTAATGCATTAGAATAATATCTGCTCCTTTATCTTGATAACAATGTAGGTATCTTCATTTAATCATATTTTCTTCTTGAGTTTTCACTAATAACATGAGATGTAACATGTCGTTTTGGTTGTGGTACTACAGTTAGTTTTCCAAACCGTGGTCATGTCTTTGCTTCTAAAACATTTAATGTGCTTTACAGAGCTGTCATCAGAGGTCATTCTGTCCCAATGTGTTCTTTTCTTTCTGGTTGGATACGATACAACGTCTTCGTGTTTGTCTTTTGCTGCCTATAACCTGGCAATGAACCCACAATTCCAGGATATGCTTGCTAAAGAAATAGATGATAAAATTCAGCCCGGTGTAAGTTTCCACTTTTAATTCACTAGAATCACATCTATTATGATCACTCAATTATGTATAATTATGTTTGTTTTTATGCAGTTTTGTTTGTCTCTAATGGAAAATTAAAATATCTGTTTCATTTTTAGCATTCTAATATATTTAGTATGACGATAAATTAAAGAAACGTTTTTTTTTCATGTTCATGCCATGATATTTGTACAATTAAAAAACATTCTTCGTTTCGTAGTTAATGAATTTCAGAAAAAACACCATCAAAGATTTAACATTTTTGTAATTTTAAAAATCGGCGACTTTCTAACAACTTTGTTTTAAAATTAGACAAAACTTACCTACGATGTGGTGAATGACATGCCTTTCTTGGACGCTGTCATCAGCGAAACCTTGCGGCTGTACCCGCCAGTTGTCATGTACGTAGTTTCTTCTTTTCCATTAATAAAGATGAACCTGTCCAATGAAAATATTTTATCTTTTAGTACTAAATCTGAATCTTGCAATGAAATTCTCTTTTTTAAAAATAGTGGTGTTGGTGTAATTATTGTCACATTAAGAGAAGATACGATAGTGGTACGTCTCTGTTCTCGTTTGTTAATTTTCCGTAGAAATTCTTTCCGAGAAACTTCAGCCGATACAAGTCCTTTCTTAAATAAAACTAGTTTATTCTTTCTCAATTCAACTTTGCAATACACTTAATTTCCACAGTCACTTTAACTTAAACCTACGCTATAATTCACAATGATTTACACACTTACGGCTTGACTTGGTTATCTGTCTATATCTTCAATCTCTCTGTATGCTATTCCAGTTCCGATTAATTGTCTCCCTTTAACTGGCGCGCTTATATACAGGAATAGAGGGCGTCTAGCAAATACTGGATTATTCGTGATGTTCCCCTAACCTTCTAGAAACTCATCACGTGTTACCAGCGTCACGTGACTTCCGCTGTCGTAACAATACTTTTCTCTCCACATTAACTGTGTTTTATATAGCTCACCTCTCTCCAAATTGTTTTTATTTTATTTTAAAACTTCTCTTCAGTCTCCACATTTTTAAAACTTGTCACAATAAATTGTTTCCTATATGAAATGAAAATGTAGTGCATAGCAATAATGACGGATACGTTGGTCTGTGTGTACATAAATAGACTGTGTTGACGGATACGTTCGTCTGTGTGTACATAAATAGACTGTGTTGACGGATACGTTCGTCTGTGTGTACATAAATAGACTGTGTTGACGGATACGTTCGTCTGTGTGTACATAAATAGGCTGTGTTGACGGATACGTTCGTCTGTGTGTACATAAATAGGCTGTGTTGACGGACACGTTCGTCTGTGTGT